TGCGTGGTGCCTGCGCCATCTTTATTAGTCGTCGCTGTCGGGTATCGACAGGCTATGGCAACAGCGTTCCGCTGTGACAGCAAATCCCATGATGCTTTGTATGGAGAGCTCTCTTTGCAAAGCATTCTGGGATACATCTGCCTCTTCTGAGGCCTTTCTTTTCTTCTCATACACCTCGTAGACACTTTTTCTCTTACGACCCTCGGTCATTTTCAAAGAACCGCGGTGAGAAAGGTGAGCTTCAATAAATGTCTGAAGCCGTAGCTCACCACACAGATACGCCTGAAAGTGCGCATGCACAGAAAAAGATAGCTAACGGGAAAAGATGGCCTTATGCAAACATATCACCAGAATGATACAGTTAGGAGGACCACTTATTTAGATGATCCACCCAGAAATAAAAGATTGTCCTCTATACCTTTAACTTTGTTAAAGAGTGGTTTTACATTCATTTGCGTCTAAAACATAAAGAAGAGGAGATAAAACACAACCCTGGGGAGAACCTGTTGATANGTAGAATGCTGGTTGGTATAAAATAATTTGCATTGCAAAGAGATTTCATTTTTGAGAACTTGTTCTGATGAAGAGAGGATCAATTTAGCTTTGTTAGGCAATTTCATTATTAAAGAAAGAGATTTTAGCAACAGGATTCAAACTCTTTTTATCTTTCAATGATCGGCAATTATACCAACAGATAAATGACAAATTTAAGCCTGACAAAACCTACCCATGATAACTGGACTGACTGAAAAAGGCTTTCGTTTTCTCAGAAGGTTCATTCTTTGTTGAGCTCGTTTCACATCAGCTGCAGAATTAACATTACACTTAAACTGCTTGAAAAAAATTGTGCTAAGATACTTAAAAGAGGAGACCAGCTTGATGCTTTTACTATGTTGTGACTTGCAACTAAAAATGACGAAGCGAGACGGTTACTTTCATTTGGGTGAACTTTAGTGAAGAACGGCGAAGGAAAAAATTATACAGCGTATGCCAGTTGGCTCGGCTCAACATAACTACTTTTTTTTTACGTAAAAGTTACATTACCCTTTTTTTTTTTACATCCTGCTCCTAGAGTATCTTGGGTAGTAGAGTCCACCTCAATGCAACTCCAAATAAATGCAGTCCCAAATTTGACCACAGTTAACAGATGAACTGTGTTATCAACTTTAATGTTAACTTATATTTTTTAACTCAGTAACTTATTCATTTGTTATGAAATAATGAGTCCTCAACAAATAAATTCACAACATACTATGAATAATACTATTGTGGCTAGACCCTTTTTACATCTATAATCAAATATTATATTCTGTTGTTTGTTTTTGTTTTTTTATTTTATTTTTACATTGGGCCCTTGATTTTACGTTATTCCATCATGTTCTACTCACCCATATGAGTTTTGTGTCATTTGAAGCCGTTCTGAAGATATTCCATTAGGTTATATCCAAGTAACGTCTTCCTACGGTTATATATTTTATATTTATATTTTTTAAAACAAAGTGGACAAGCAGCATACACACTCCACTTTGTTTAAAAAAATATATATAAATAGAAAAAATACAACTGTGGATGTCTGGGGGACAGTGATTGGCCTACATGTTCTGAATGCTGGCGTACCATAAATGATAAATGATGAACAGTTTAGTTTGTGCCTTCAAGTCGTTGCCCATAGGAAGACGTTACTTGGATATAACCTAACGGAATATCTTCAAAATGGCCTCAAATGACACAAAATTTATATGGGTGAGTGGAACATGATGTAATAACGTAAAATCAAGGGCCCAATGTAAAAAAAACGGTGTTCCCCTTTAAATTAAAAAATTTCTGTCACAACCAAAAATAAAATTAGAGAGTGCTATCCCACATTCTGAATTGGTAACTCTGAGAAGAGTTACCAATGTAGTATCATCTGAAAGTTTAACAACTTAAATGTATTGTGAAGGATTTTGGCAATTTTTTTAAAAGACTCACTGTCTCCACTTTAAAAAAAAAAGGGAAAAAAAGCACAATCCTCTTCCCGCTCCCGAGAGGGAATGCCTACACTGCAAAAACCATCAAGAATTAAGTAAAAACTTTCTGAAATTGAATGTTTTTACCCTTAATTTTAGCAGATAGATAAAATGATTTGCCAGTGGAATGAGTATTTCTACTCCTAAAACAAGATAATTAGATAATATACACTCGAAATAAGACAAAGCAATTGCTTTTTTCTTATTTTAAATGTAAAATGTCTTGTTCCATTGGCAAAGTATCTCAATTACCTCCTCAATTCAAGAGAAAATGCACTTAATTTAAGCGAAAATGGCTCATTTAGATTTCAATTTTTTGCAGTGTATTAAACTTGTGCGAGAGCGTGCACAAGCCCATTTCTCCTCATGCAGGCTCTGTTTCAAAGTTGTTATTCTCATAGCTCATACGAGCTTACTTTGTCCAAACATTCGCCCTAACCCCTAAATCCCTATATAGAGTGGGGACTTTATAGTGAACTCAGTTCACTGAACGTTTGAACAGATGGTCACTACTTTTTGCTCACTGTTAGTCACGTAACTCCTCCTCCACTGCATGGTGCCTGCGCCATCTTTATTAGTCGCCGCTGTCGGGTATCGACAGCCTATGGCAACAGCGTTCCGCTGTGACAGCAAATCCCATAATGCTTTGTATGGAGAGCTCTCAGCGCAAAGCATTATGGGATACATCTGCCTCTTCTGAGGCCTTTCTTTTCTTCTCATACACTTCGTAGACACTTTTTCTTTTACGACCCTCGGCCATTTTCAAAGAACTGTGGTGAGAAAAGTGAGCTTCGATGACTGTCTGAAACCGTGGCTCACCACACAGATACGCCTGAAAGTGCGCATGCACAGAAAAAGATGGCTAACAGGAAAAGATGGCCTTATGCAAACATATCACCAGAATGATTGACAGTTAGGAGGACCACTTATTTAGATGATCCACCCAGAAATAAAAGATTGTCCGCTGTACCTTTAACTGTGTTAAAAAGTGATTTTACATTCATTTGCGTCTAAAATATAAAGAAGAGGAGATAAAACACAACCCTGGGGAGAACCTGTTGATACAGAGCCATGATCTGACAGGTAGTTATTAACAAGGACTCTCTGTTCCCTCATAGACAAAAAA